GCACCAAATAATTACTAACTTCTCATAATAATTATCACACTTTTTTATTAATAAATATGATAACCTCATCCCACAGCAGACTCACATCTTTACATCTAAAGCACAGAAACCTGCAAACTTAATCCTCATAATCGTATGCACACTCATTATAATCCATTCTTTGAAAAACAGACACAACAATCACTTAAAGTTAATAATATATAAACAGACCTCCTTCACTCCCCATGTTGATACTCACACTCCTCACCACAGTTTCTATCTTATATCAAAACTCATATTATTTTTATCAGTACCTCTTTAAAACCATTTTAAACCATCAAGCATTTAGTTCAAATACCACCTCATCCACGCAGCGCAAAGCTCTGCCAGCTCGGTACCGAGAGAACCTGCCTACAAATAAAATCTTCATTACAGCTCAGCACTCTTCCTTAAGATATAACTTCTTGTTGCCTATTTTCCTCCTTCCTCTCAAAAAATCCTGTCTTCACCTCCACCTGAGAATGGAATTTCTCCACATGTCCTAATCTACTTCCAAAAAATACCTATAATTACTCTTCTTATCTTTATCCTTCCCTTCACCCATACTAAGATCCCAATATCCTCACCACTAAATTCCCCAACTCACTACCTACTCATCATCCCTCCAGCGTCCTATCCCCCTCTCCCCTATCCTTATTAACCTAATATTAAATCTATTATGTAACCGATTCCAACAATTATTAAAAATTATCTTATTCTAAAGCTTTATAAATAACAGCAAAATATATAATTATCCACCAATTTATTTCTCCTAATACTACAACTAAAACCTAAAAAATCACGAAAATTAATAGCTTTTTCTATGCCTTAAGTTTCTAATCAAACATTTACTCTGTCCAAACAAATAAACTGCAATCAAAATACCTATTATTATTATTTTATTCTGTATTAAACAACCTTTATATATACAACCTTTTAAACCATACAATTAATTTGTCTTATATTAATATTAACTTATATATTCGCAATTAAAAATAAATATTAAATACATCTAAGAATATATTTATTTAGCGCCGCTCTCCACGCAAATCCTGCTAAACTTTCACTCATGATACCAAAACACGTGCTATAAAGATATCCGTTATGACTCAATCATCACTCCTAAATCCCTCCTATCTCTCCACCCACTTAAACTCGCCCCCTCTCCCTCCATAACCAACGTATCTCCCCCTATCTCCCCCCCTCCCCTCATCCCTCATCCACACTATTTTTAACGAAAATCATTAAATCAATTATTACTTACACTGCATCTCCAAAGCATAACACGTGAAAACGACAAAACGCGCTAAATCAATCCCGATAAAAACAATCTCCCGCAAAAGTTCAAAAAATCCCGACTACGACGTCGAGTATCCACAAAAACCAAATTAACATCAATATAAAAATTGCAACTTCCCTCAATCACTTAACTCATTCCTTTGTGTGTTTTTTGTGTGTTTGGCTTTTGTTTTTTTTTTAATCATTTTATCATTAACTATACAACTTTACATAAAACTAAACCACTACTCATTACGCTTTACTAAATATCTCGAAAATTTTTTTTATTCAACTCATGCAAATAAAGACTGTAAAAGCAATAACTGAGATTCTTATAAAAATCAATTTTCTGTAAAATCAACTAACATTATGCTCAAACCCAGCTCTCACTTCCATTTTTTTTTTAATCGCATTCTTTTTATTTTTTTTTTCATTATGATTTATTTCTATTTCATTATTTATTATTATCAAATTAATCTTAATTTCCAATGTACGTAAAACCACCTAAAACAAGCAATTCGAACTCTCCATACAGTACCTTCAACATACCTTTCTTCTTATCATCTTATATTCACCAATCTATTTTCTATCCATTTATAATATAAAGATAATTAAACTTATTTCATTACAAATCTGACAATACAACGTAATATATAATTCTATCCAGCTATTAGATTCAATTTTCTACTCTATAAAAAAACATATATAACTCTACAATTAATATTCTTAATCTCCAACAAAACTTTAAGACTAAAATCTTTCTTCAATCACCACACAACAGAAATCAAACTTTCAGACTAAAAAATCAAATAACTCATAAACAAACCATCCCATAAGTTGATAACAATTAAAACTGTACCTATTCTTTTCTCTTTCATAATAATTTTTTCAGACAAACAAGTGATAAACTTAAAGCAAAACAAATTTTTCCGCTGCTTCAGCTAGTGTAAATAGACTCGGGTATTATTTGATAATATTGACCTTAAACAGAATAATTATTTGTAATGGGTTATACAAAGTTATTTTTTGTTTAAAAGTGATACCCAAATTTAAAAACAGTTAATATATTCCTAGTAATTTTGCTAACTCACAATCGACATTATATTTAAACTCACTAATCTATCAATATTAACTCCATTCAAATTATTTACTCAGTAATAATTAATAATAATAATAAAATAATATAAAATTATAATAAACCATCAGTTTTCACTCCTACACACTGTGACATACACTACTGACCACACTGCCCGGCAACACTACTGACGACAACTTGCCACCCCCCTCCCACCACCTCCACCATTCACACACACCAACCTCTTAATCTCTTGAAATTACCTATCAAATTTAATTTACTCACAAAAGAACCATCTCAATTGGCATTTTTTATTTTCTCATATCTGAAACACCTACCCATTTTATCCCTACTCTACCTGCAAGCCAGCCCTTCACCTCAAGCCCAGCAAGCCATCCCTTCTCCTCATTTCCCACAACCAGCCCCCCCCATATTCCCAGATAGCCTTCCAGTCTCCTCGAGTCCCACAACCGTCCTTCTCCTCAAAATATTTCCCCCACCCCCCACCCCCCCCACAGACCATCCGCTCCCAATCCACAACCAGTCCCTACTCCCTAAATTCCCCAATACCATACCCTGTCTCCTCAATCCCACAGACCTTCCTTCCCTCAAATCCCACAACCAGTCCCTTCTCCCAACCCACAATAACCATCCCCTGTCTCCTAAATCCCACATAGCCAATTCCCTTCTCCCAATCCCACAAGCCATCCCTTCGTTCTCAAGTCCAACAGACAATCCTCCTCCTAAATCCTAACCATCCCTTCTCCTCAAGTCCGCACAGACCATCCTTCTCCCAATCCTCAGACCATCCTTGCTCTCAGAGTTCCCCCACACCGTCCTTGCTCTTAGAGTCACATATACTTTTACACATTATATTACTCCACCTTCATTCCATTATTCACCTTATAATTCACCTTACTTTAACTTTCTTCACCTTCACCCATCACCGACTAAAGCTGACTTAATGTCGCGTGTACTCAGACTCTTTTCCATCTCCCATTAATCATCTCACCAACCTATTCTTTATTTTTTCACTACCCACCAAACCCTCGAAATCTTTGTAGATGACCTCTCACTGGCAAGAACCTAACCACTCTTTCTCCTTCACCAACTAAAAATTCTTCATTCTGATCATAAAGACAAAAATCCAATTTTCGCCTAATTTTGTAGTCACAAGGTCAAATACCTAACTCCCTACACACTACTAAATACAACAAAAAGTCTAACAGCATCTATCTATCCTACCTTCTTCTCTCTCCACTCTTCTCAACTAACGCCACCAGGCCCCCTCCACCTCACCTACACCTTCCCCGACCCCACCCACCTCGCCCTTCTTTCCTCCAACCCTTCGATTCTTCCCCAATCCCAACAACAACCGCACAAAACATATGACCACTCCCCGCCTTCAACATAACGCTTCCTCCACAAGCAGCCGAACAAGACCCCCCATCGTCCTCACATAGTACCTAGTGTTCCAACCTCACCAAATATAATATCTCCAACGATGAACCCAGATCGTCACAAGACAATCTCACCACGATCAAGCGCCTAAAAGGACTAAATCATTCCCAAAAGACATCCCACACCATCCCCTATATTTTGTTCGATCTAACAAGCCGCAACCACATTCACGCGAATCCAACATCTCTAACCTCAAAATCACTTAACATAACTTTCTTGTTGTTTTATAACGCATCAGAAAAACAATCAATCCTGAAAAAACAAAAACCTTTAAAACCCATAACAAGAAGAGAAAGAAATCTACTCCACACAGACAACATAACCCAATCTGACTTATCCAACTATTATCCTAACTACTGAATCCAAACACTAGAACCATCGACTAACCAAATCACTTATCCAACATTGTAGATACACCACTAGATCCTACTATTGTATCCAACTGTTTTGTAAAACCAAATCATTAACCATCTCCACGTTTTCAACGATTAATCCAACTATTTTAACCCCAACTAATTTGTTCAACTGACTTAATCTAAGAGCTAGATCCTACTCAGCTAAACCAACTACAAGATCCAGACTGACTAACCCAGACTCACTAATCCAACTCAGCGAATCAAACGACTTTAACCATCTACTGTGTTTCAGCTGACTAGATCCAACTACTTAATCCAAACTATTAAACCAAATCACAGTTTCACATCTTTATCCAACTATTAGATCCAACCAGCTGTAGATCAACTACTTAATCCAACCACTTTTTTCAGACTGATTAACCCACACGTGTCAACTCAGCTTAACAAGACACTAACCCAACTCAGTCTGTAATCCAACAGCTGTAGATCCGACTAGTTAACCAGACTCACGTAATCCATTACTAGTTTAATCCAGACTCCACTGTAATCCTGACTCACTTTTTTCAACTGATCTAATCCATATGAGTAACCCAACTCACGAGAACCAAACATACAAAATTAAGAATCCCAACATACTTACAAAATGCTATAGAATATACCTCTTTCGCTTACTCCCGCCTCCCATTCACTAATTCACAACAACAATGATCAATTCACCCTCCCACTTCCACAAAACCTCTTTCTTTCTTTATACTCCCCATCTATAAATTCGCAATACCAAAATCCGAAACGCTGTCATAATAGACTATAAACCCTCACCTCCTCTCCGTAATACTGCGAAATTCCAAGACACAGATCGGCTCCTCCCACACACACTCACACTCCGCCGCACACAAGATTTCAGAGCAAAATGTTATACATTAAAGTATCCCATCTGAATCATCACACAAACTCACGATTTCTACAACATTTTCTATAAACTAAACCAAAAACAAGCATTTAACCAGGTAGACGAGACTAATAATAATAAAGATAGATAATAGATACATAATAATTATTATAAAAAAGATATATGAATTGATAAAAATAGATAAATAAATAAATAATAATAATATATAATAATAAAATAAAATAATAAGATAATAATTATAGATGATAATAAATATTAGATAAATAAGAAGAATAAAATAATATAATAATATGATATAAAATAAAATAATAATATAATATAAATTAAAATATAAAATTAATATAAATATAATAATAAATATTATAATAATATTAATTATAATATTAATAGATAAAATTAAAATAAAATTTTTTTTTTAATAATAATAATAAATAATAGATAATAATAATAATAATAATATGGTCACACACAAAATTAAAAATAAAATTCATCTATATAATTAATTATGTATTATATACCATTTACACATAGCTACCAATACTTACAATTCAAAATAACTATATTTTAAATAATAAAACAACTCCCTCCTCACACAACATCTCACAATACAAGATAAATAACATTGTAAACACAAAACAACTTCGGTTTCCAGACGACTCTCTTCATTTTGATACATCACAACAAAACTCGCTAGTTAAACTTTTGCCTTATAAGCTTTCCCGCTCTGTTTGTCATGAATTTTACCCCCCCCCAACTCCACTCACATCTTTCTCATTTCCCCGAACCGCTCATTCCACACCTATCTATTTTATTTCTATCTATATAACTAACATCCAATTTGTTTTCTCAATTCAAAAAATGCTTTTAACTACATACAATTTTTATAATCCTAATTGAATGTAAAACTTACCCAATTCACCTAAACTCCCCTCTCTCCAACACAACGACTCTCTTTAACTCAAACTGACACTTCACCCAATTATTCTACACTCTCTCAAACAACAACACAGGAGAGAAAAAGAATTGGTAAAAAAATTCATTTCAAATTTATCTTAATACCAGCTCCTCTAGGACAACATCAACCACCTGAATCCATACTCAATTTACATTCTATACGATTATATCACAACTGTTTATAATAAACATTGTATGAACTTGAAAAAACAAATGCATATAAGTTAAATAAATCAATTATAAACTAATCTCCAAGTACTAAAATAAGAACCTATTTTCCTATCTGAAAACAATAACCATCAAAACTAAACCCTTGAACAAAAATCAAATATAACTCTCCTCGGTCTTACTGAATCCAACTACTAAACCCACATCCTCTAAACATTGTTTTTTTTTTTACAAATTTTATTTCTTTTTTATTCTCCTAATTTCGTACTTGACTTTGCTTGTATTAGTAATATTTTAGCTTCTTTTTGTTCGGAACATTTTAATCTTTACATACTTGCCTGTAAAAAGCGCTATATAAATACACATTACTTACTGTTTATTTTATCAATTTTATTTTTATTTTCTCTCTCACTCTCCACTATCTACAACATAATCTATATTTCTATCTACTACGGAGATCTTCTATCATCTATCATCTATCCTCTAGCTCTATCTATCTTTCTTCACTACTACTTTCACTACCTTCCGTATATATCTAACTATCTATATATCTCTCTATCTATACTATCTATCTACCCTCTTTCTACTCTATCTATCTATCTACTATTCTATCTACTCTCTACTCTCTACTATCTCTATCTATCTATCTAACTATCTATCATCTAATCTATCTATCTATCCTCGATCTTTCTTTCTCTTCTCTCTATGCTCTATCTATCTCTATCTATCCACTATCTATCTTTCTCCTATCTCTACTATCTTACTATAATCTATCTATCTCTATCGATCATTCTACTATCAGCTTCTATCGTCTCTTTAGCTATCTACTATCTTCTTTTTATCTGCCTTCTACTATACTAGCTATCTATGACCTCACTCTCTCACCTGTACAATGCATCTTCATGTGCTTTTTTTACTATCACTTAGAAATCATATCCCATCTCACCAAATTCAAAATAAAAGTCTACATTTTCACTCATGTGTGCTACGAAACCCCCTCTTTCCACTTTTTTACACTAAACACTTCCTCACTGTCATCTCCATTCAGCATTAAAACCACTTCCCATCTATACACACCCTATCATCTACTCACCTCCGTCCCAGTATTTCAATCTACGGCCATATTAGTATGCTACTGCTATAAAAAACTACAAAAGCCAATCTTTTTCCAGATAACTAATTATCCATATCCCCCTCCTTTTTTATTCATAAACTTCAGACACACGAAAGAGAACTAATTCCTAAAATCATTTGTAAATATATCTTTAATTTATTTCTTTTCTCACCTTTACTCCTACACCCATCCTATCTACAGCCACATCCTGAACACACCTACTATCAACAAAACCTATCCGATCTCAACCGCATCTACTACACCTGATCCTGATCACAACCTCATCCTACTCTATAATCCGTTCACAACGATCCTGTTCTACATCCCATCCTATCTACACCCATCATATACCAAACCTCATCCTTCTACAACCTCATCTAAACAACAGCCAGTCCTACTACACCTCATCCTGTTCAACACCTATCCTACTACAACCTCATACCTTATCTACACCCAGTTCCTAAACAAACAGCCACTCCCTATTTACAACCTCATCCCTGATCAACACCTCATCCTATCACACCTCATCCTGAAACAAACCTCATCCTTCTTCACCTCAT